TATACAAAATTTTAACTGTGCAAGATGCCGGTACCAAGAAGTGATGAGACAAAGATTTGGGCTGTGTATCGGTTCTAAACTTGTAATAACCTATTGGTATTTTGAAAGTTAAGGAGAATTTTGGACTGTATAATCGGTGAGGTAGAAGAACGGGGAGATGAAGATATATTAGATGAAAAAATCATTGTTATCAATGCTGTTGAAAATAAAGTTGCAAATTTTATGCTGCAAATTTCAATCAGTAAAACTTATTTTTTATTCTGTTTTATTATTATTCTTTTTTTGTTTCAGTTAGACGCAGATTTTTTTAACAACTACACGAATGTTGAACAAAACAGAAGACCAAAATTTCTTTTTAAATGCTCATTAATGGTGTTTAAAAGGAAAGAAAAGAATGGAAAAAAAATTGATCGTAATTTTAACTAGTTACTAAACTGAGTTCAGAAACTGTACAATGAAATTTTTGCCTAATATTCAAATAAATATTTTTCCAAGTATTTTTTAATTGAAAAATAAAGAAAAACAACAAAAAGACAAATTGGTTTGAAAATAAAACTTTATTTTTACGGTGGCCGAAGCTTTTCCATATAACTTTCTATTGACCTGTTTTTTTTGGCTTTCTTTTCTCTATTTTTTTTATTCTTTTCTTTCTTAACCTTTTTCTTCTCTGTGTTTTTAAAACACTTTAAAAGACTTAATTATATTTAAAAAAAGGTGTTATACAGTATTAATTTGATGGCTTTGCTTTTGTAATTTGTTGCTTCTGCTGCCGCTGTACTGTTACATTACAATTGCTATTGATCTGTGCTTATTAAGTATTTGTTTCAAAGCAGATAATATTTTTGTACATATCTTGTAAAGCAATTTTTTCTTTGATTTTTTTAATGTTAATTCAAGAAAAAAAATTATTTGTTTACTTTGAAGGAGATTTACTAAACGTTTTTAATGCTTACGCTTCAACATTGGAGGAACTACAGGTGACCAGAAATACACAAATTACACATACGCTGGTCTTCTTTATCTAATAATTCTGTCTAGACAATACGGGAGTTAAAGTGTTGAACATCGTCTGACGATGGAGGAGTTGATGGAACCAGCCGAATGGATTCTACAAACTGCTGCATCATCATCATCAGCGTCAGCATCATCATCAATCAGAAACTATACCGATGTTGTAACCATCTGTGATTTTCAGGGTGCTTCAGATGCGCATAGTGATGTAAGTAAACTAATAATCGGTTCATCTTTTACTGCCACTTTGTCATAACTAATTTATGTTTAAAATTCAAGAAGTTAGTTGTTACTTATTTTGATATGTCAATTTTTGATTATTCATTGTTTTTCTGTCTCTTTACTCATCTTCTTTCTTTTTCTCGGTTTTTTTGGTTACATGTCTTTTTTTTTGGTTTTTCAAAATTATCAACACGGATAAATGCGGAAACAAGTATATCGAAGTTTTTTCCGGTGGAGAGGAAGGCGTTGGGATAGGTTAGGGGAGATCTTATTGACCGTTCATGAAAAAAGTGAAATTTTTTTCATGAACGGTCAATCAAAGAAGATAATCTGGTTCTTACTGTAAAAAAAATTCTCCTTTATTTAAAAGACTAAGTTTCCTTTTTGAGTTTGATGAAAAGAAAAGTCTTTAAATTTTTTTAAATTGAAGATTAAATTTTTTTGAACTTTTAGATCAAAAGGAATTTTTTTTAGTGTGCCGTCAATATTGTGTGGTGGACAAACGTGATCTGTCTTCCAACAATTGCATTTATTGGTTTAGCGTGTAATATTCTGAACATTCTAATACTGACAAGTAATCGTTCAGCAAAACGTATGCCATCTTGGTAAGCCGGTTTTAAGCCATCATTTTTTTATTAGTGTTATTGTTCGTTTGTTATTTTTTCACCTTATTTGTATGATCGATGATGAATAGGTGGGTAGATAGATGGATGGACGGATGAGTGGATTAGGCAAATGAATGATGATGACGATGTTTGTGACGAAAATGATGAAAATAAACAGTTAAAGGAACTTAGAAATTATTAAATGTTATGTAATTTTGCAGGAATCTTTTATTGGCATTAGCAATATGTGATTGTTTGTTCTTGATTTTTGCCGTCTTTGAAGTAACTCCAGTTAGCATTGGTGCATTTGTCGCTCGGCCACCATTCAATTTTATTTATGCTCATTCCGTTCTGTATATTCGTACATTAGCATCGACATTCTACAAAACTTCTGTCTTGTAAGTTTTTTTATGCATTGGCTGTTTGATTGTATAACAGATTTACCGGACGTTGGGGGGATTATAGAAGTGCATTCGTAAATTTATATCGTTTGAACTGAATTGAATTAAAGCACTTTGTTTTAAACGGGAATGGGGAGAAGAAACGACGGAACAATTATTTAGTTTGCATTTTCCTTTGAATTTTTAACTTGAATGTATCCTACCAGGATACCTCTATTTTGTTTACTTCAGGATAGTGGTGGCATTTAACTTGGAACGTTATATTTGTGTGTGTCACCCTCTTCGGTCACATCGGTTATGCACAACTCGAACTAGTCGTCTAGCGATTGTCTTTTGCATCTTTACTTCGTTGTTATGCTCACTTCAGTGGCCGATTTGTTATCATGTTCAGTCATGCTATGATATATCTATTCAAAATTACTTTTATATGGTAATATTACGAGACAGTCATAGCCTTCAGGTTGGCAACATTCAGCAGATGACAGCTTCGATATATACGTCTTTAGAGTGACATCTTTCCCCTAAACATGAACAACGGTTACCTTATTACCACAGTATCATTTTTTACAATCAAGTGACTAAAAAGCTTCTTCTTTCAGTTTTATTATCGCATCACGGACTATTTTTCACTCATTGGTTTCAATGTACTTCCAATCTTAATATTATGCGTTCTGAATATACGTTTGATTATAACACTTCGTAAAGTTGTCGACCGGGATATGGCCAGAGGAAGTTGCTGCGATACGGAACATCAAGGAACTGGAACGACTTTACTAGCTGACGGCGCACTAATTCCAGTAAGCATTTGTTTTTTCCGCGGTTTATTGCTGAAAAACTGCAAAAGATAGCCAATTCTGTTTGGTTTTTTTTGCTTCTTTTCTTATATTATGGGAAATTTTTTATTAGTAACTTATTTTAGGATTCCACGATTGGTATACGTTCGTCGGCGGCTCAGAGATTCAATGCAAATGCGATGCTGTTTGCCGTTGTTATTATGTTATTCATTTGTGTTGGACCGCAAGCTCCAGCTCGTCTTCTTTTTGAGTATTTTGGACAGTATCACTCTACAGCGATCGTTTATACTTGTATTACTCAACAGGTAAAAAGAACAACAGATTTTAGCTAATACAACAACTTTTTTTGCTCAAGCAGTTTAAATTAATGGCAGTTTATAAAAGAATTATTAGAATTTAAAACACCAAATTTGGATGTTTACGATACATATTTACATATATATAATTTTTTTAACTCTGTAAATTTACCGAAAATTGAGAAGAAATTTAATCTATATAATTTTGGCTGACATACTTACGGTATTCATTTAAGCTGGTTTTTTTGAATGCGGCACTGAATTTTTGTTGGTACTGTTTGGTAAGTAGACGATATCGGACTTTACTGAAACAAACGGTAAAACGAATTCTTGGTAGCGCTAACAAGTAAGTATAACTGCAGTTAGACAGCAGTTAGATCTTTCTAATCAATATCTATTTATTTGCTTATTTGGTGTGTATATATAAATATACAACTTTTGTTGTTATCTGTTTGCTAATTTTGCAGCTACCGTATTCTTTTGGCTAAAGCTGACAAATAGTAAGAAGAAAGTTTTCAAAAAAGATGGAATGATTGCCACATCTAACAATCCTCTAATGCAAAACTTCTTTTCTTTAATCAATTTTTAACCTATATTTTTTCCACTTTTACAACTTTTAAGTTGTTTAGCACTGTTATTTAAAAGGAAGAATAGAAGCCGTAACTTGAAGCGCTGTGAAAAATTTCTTTCGTCAAGTGTCTACTGAAAATAACGGGCTAAAATATGTTAAAAACAGAAGACTCATACTTCTACTGGCTTCATTTATTTAGGTACAAACCCACAGTAATGCTTATCAAACTGAGCAAATCGTCCTCGCCACACGGGACAACACTAGAAGATCACGCTGCAATAGCAAAGTTTAGTACTACACATCCGAGTGTACAACCATTGCTACACTGACCACTAACTAACTGGCTGATTGAACGATTGACCGACTGACCTGATGACTTACTGACCGGAATGACTGATCAAGTGACTGGATGATAACTGGTTGATTACTGACTAATTGGTAGATTGATTAACTGATTAACTGATTGATCATACCACCACGTAGTCGTTATGAGAGTTACCAGAAAAGAAATTTATACAAGATTTGTTAGAATACTCGTTTTTGTATTTTCTTCCTTATTTCTTCCCGTGCTCCACCATCATTTATCCTAAACCCGCTTCTGCCTCCACCATCGGTTTTCACCACTGCCCGAGTATATAATTCAGTAGATGCGCTGCTGATATGGCTTTCTTGTTGTTCTTCTTGAAACACTTTTCTGACCTGCATTCAAAGTAGCATTTACTTTATATGAAACTTGGAATTTTCAATTATAGTAACAATTTTAGGCCTGGATACGGTAGTTGCAGAAAAGAAATTTTTTTAATGATACTTCTCACGTATTTTAATTCTGATATACAAAAGAATGAAAAGAGTAGGAAAAAAGGAAAGGAACTGCTAAGTGTTCCTGTATAAACGGACCAAATTGTTTTCATCGACAGATCGTTGGTGATTAAAATTTGTCGAAAAAAGAAGTGGAAAGTACTATTTTTTTTCTCTTGAAAAGTCTCCCAATTTTTGTTTTTTAAGCTATTTTGGTTTGCTTGTTCGTTCGTCTCTTTTCTTTACTTTACGCAATTGAGCTTAACCATTAGAGTATTATTCCAGATTACGATGCTTAGTGCTTCTTGTCGCTATAGCACACATTTCTCTATGATTTGTTGTGTTTTGACAGAATCTTCCCATGTATATTTGTATGTATTTTATATATGTGTTTGGGGATGAATGAAGGTCATGTTGTCTTAGCTGTTATTGGTAACAATGGTAATGATAATGATGATTCAGTAGAATTAATTGGATTTTTGTGTGATAATTCTATTTATGCTTTTCAGATATTTATTTTAGTCTGCAAAGTTTCGACTTTTCCGTTAAATTATTGTTTTTAAATGTTGCAAATAGGTTTGTTTCTTCTAACCTTTTCTTATGTCTACTTTTCATTCTCTTTCTTCTTCTGATGCCAAGTTGGGTCAAAGCTGTTTCATGTTCTCTTCTGTTACGGGTAAAATTTTTTATTTTAGAGTTTGTAAAACGATCCTTATGAAGAACAAAAATAGAAATGCTTAATATACGTGTAATTTTTCTTTTCTTGTCTTGTTCCGTTTACCACTCGTTTTTATGCTTACTTTAATGCTAGAAAAATAAAATGCATCAAATGCATTGTAAACTCTCTGCCCATGCTGCAGTTCTTTAAGTGTTCGGTCGAATTAGTTAGTTAGCTGTTGAAACGCAGTATATCAGGATAATGCATTCAGTTACTCTAGCGATTTGAAGGCTATTTTTGCAAATAACAAAACTGGACAAAAATTAATTAATTCATGACTTTACAGAATCGTTATAGGATCTGAAATTTGAAGACAAAATATAAATTTTTTGTTGAAAGTAACTGCAAAGCCAGTACATGAATATAAAAATCAGCGCAGAAAATCGAAAAGGGTACACATTTTACGTATACAAATTCCGGAAAGAACTTTTAAGTTTCCTTTATTGCTCAGTCAACTGTTGAAGCTATGGTTCTACACAACAGTTGGCTTTTGGAAAAAACAAGTGCTGCAATCAAACCCGGACCTCATCTGCGAATCTTTTCACAACTATACAATTTCCTTAATGCTTCACTAAAGTATAATTACCTGTAATAAGGAGAATATTTAAGCAAGCAACTCCTAAGGCGTTTGAGCCTCAGATCAATCGTCTGCGTTCTAAAATCGAGTTCACCAATCGTATGCCAGTACGTTGGTAACAGTATGACCAACCTGTAGGTCAAATTAAAACCGTTTGAGAACTTCTTGACTCTACGATGTAGATGAAAAAAAACCTCTATTGCCGCTACTGGATAACGAGCTGCGGCTGTGAATGACAGTCACGAAAAACTGCTCGCTTCTCACAACCAAATGATTGAAAAAGTTTCGCCTGAAACAAAACAAAACAGATCCTCCAACCAAAATTATTCCTCCTTCTGTGTCCTCCTCACGTATATCAATTACATTCCCTGAAACTCGTCTTTTCGCTTCCGATCTGACATCTACGACCAATTTTGAAAAGTAAAAGGTTTTTTTCAGAAATGTAGCAGGCGTCAGAACACAATGTCATTCTGCGTTGCTTTGGTTATCCTAAATAAGGTAAAACGTGAGCAGAGGGAAAGATAGTTTTAAAAAACTCTGCGTTCAGAATTCAAAAATTCATCAGTTTGAAAAAGCTGATTACAAAACTTCAAATTTCATCTCTAAAAAGCAACATAAGGGATAAAAACCAAACGGCTATCGTTATACGTCCATGCGTTACCACTCTTGTTCCTCAAAAACTTTCTGGTGCTTTTAAGAAAGCTGTACATCAACAACTGCAGATTCTCCACGCGTTTTTAAACTGCCTTTTTGATTTCTCAAAATTCCAAGCGAGATTCCCCCACAGAACTAATCAATTTTTATACTGTCCAGCAGAGTCAGTAATAAGTCGCTCAACCTGGTGCCAATTCACCGTTTTTGAAACATATCCAACGTAAGTTCTTCACCCATGGTCTGCTGAAAAGCAGACATCAAAACAGTTTGCGGATTCGCTTTAGTTTCTTACTAGAACAAAATCCCATTACGCCAGCAGTGTGGGGAAGTTGAACGGTCTTGAACGTTTAAATTTAATTTACTACAAACACCATAATTTGAGTGAAGCGTTAAAGCTCCAACTATTTATTTATTTTTTTTAAATTCGTTGGTTTGTAATTTATTCATTTATTTACCTACTTATTTCTAAATATTTAGAAAGCAGAACCTACTTAATGCATAAATGTAAACCTAAAACACAAGAGGAAAATTAAACAATAGAAGAGAAAAACAAACAAAGTGAGATCCATGAAGAACAAATCCCTTTAGCCTTTTTTTGTCATCAATTATTCCTTAATATCCACCATATAACCACGGATGCTTGTCCTACCATCCCAAAATATAAATTTAAAATATCGTTGATGTGCAGATCCAGGATACCTACTAATAGCACATTTAGTCTACTAAATTACACAATTTCGGTTCTTGTCGTCTCGTCAGCAGTGACCACTTTGACCAAGGAACCGCTCGGCGGTCTGGAAGATGGGGAAACAATCCAGTTATAAAGAATTTCAGCTATACTTTCCAGTGATGTCCACCTAAAAAAATTATTTTGATTGATCAGACTAGCTTACAACAATGATAGGTCTTCGTTTGTACCGAGACATCACAACCAGATAAAAGAAAATAATCTGAAAATCAAAACTGGTTTCTGAAATCTTTCTTCTGAACAGGAAAAAAAACTTTCTTTTTAAAATTAGCTTTTGGCATTGATTTTCTATTCGCCGGCGTATCAAGACAAGTTGGAAGAATTGCCACAGAAGTACAGTCCTTTGGAAGTCCAGATCCATCAGATGCCAAACTTTTTGTTAGCTGATGAACAGCTGCTTTCGCCATTCCATACCCAATCATACTTCCGGTGCCATTTATCGCCTACGTATGAAGCAAAAAAAATTAGTGGCAAGAATCTACACAACAGATAACCATTTGAAATATTACCGGAGCTGCTCCCGTGAACTGCAGAAGTCCACCAGGACGTAAGTGTATAGCAGCAAGTCGCGCACAAATTGACGAACTCCAAACACTTTGTTTCCATACCACTTCAGAGTTTCTTATCATTTCTTTGCTGGCTGCATTTCCACCTGACCAACCACCAGCAACACAAAGAATGGCATCTAGTTTTTCACTTCCTACTATTTTAGCCATCCTAAGGTGATGAGATAATATTTATCAAATGTCTGTGAACGGCAAGAACTGTCAATATATAAAACATCCAATATCACTTTTCCAGAAAAACTAATAATGGAAACTAGATATTTGCAACAATAATAATGACAGCAAAGCACTTAAATTTAAAAGAAAATGAATACATAGAAGAAGATTATAGCTAGAAAAACAGACTTCTGTACCAGAAAACTCACGATTCTAAAACTGTTTTCTCTTGATCGAGCCAAGAACTGTTATGCTGAAGCACAATGTTTTCACTAGCACTTTCATTTTCCTTCAGATCAACACTTACGACTCGCTGAAAGCAACAATTAGCACGCCTTGCATTCAAATCGTTTATTAGAAAATGAACCCTTTACTTTTGCGCAGTAAATTAAAAATTAAATAAACAGCAACAAATTTCCTAATATTTACTATGGCAGAACTGTTGCGATAGAAACAAAAATAATTGCCTAATTTTTTAATTAATACTCTAGTTGATCGCCCAAAAAAAAATATAATCAAAGTTCAATAACATACCAAAATAGCCCAACACTTTGGCATACTTAAATAAGAAAAAACACATGCAACTTTGGCTTGTGGGTGCTGCACGAAGAAGTAGCAGCATAATTATTTCACTGATGATTCAATAACAGAATTTCTTTTTAACCTTCTCCCCTCCTGAAGAACTAGAAGAATGCTGTGCAGGGTGCTACAGAATTCCAAAATTAATCCCATGAATTCTTTGTGGTTCTTAATCCAAGTAACGTGAGTCATACGATACCTCCTAACTGCCGAATGCCTCACCATCCCAGCATCAGTTGGAAAGATCAAACTGCTAGTTTCTGACTGCCCCCAATTATGGTGCCAGCTACTCTGCTCACAGAGTAAAATGCCAAAAAACTATAAAAATGGACTCACAAAATTTTTAGTTGCGAAATAGTCAACAAGTGCACTCCCCAAAGCTCCACGACCACCATATACAACGACTCGTCCGACAACCATCTTCCTGAACTGTTAAACAATCTACACTTGCCCGGCCCACAAGACTTTTGCCCTCGACAATAATGCTTTCAAAGCTTCAAAAACTGCTTGCAACCCAACCCAGATCAAGCACTGACTGATGCGACGTGCACTTACTCCAATCACCCTCCCGCATCACTACAAGACAGATGTCTGCCCGACCAGAATACCAAGCAGCAGATGCATAATACTACTTAACTTATAAGACTGTTTTTAAAAACATCGACTTCACTTTTCTTTATTATACGATCATACAGTTGAAACAGAGAACGGTGGGAAAGTAATTCACGAAGTATGAGGTATATATTCATGCAATATGAGATTACCTTTGAAGAGAATCATTTGAGGTATATAAAAAAATTTGAAAGTCCTTAAGAACTTCGTAGAGGTAGCTGATAAGTCACAACATATACAACAGGCGAAAACAATGCTAACAACAATAGTGAGTAATATCTTTTGCACAAGTCACTTTTCTGCTGCCTTCCGACAGGATTAAAAACTGAAAATGAAAAAAAAACAAATATCTCATAACTATGTTTCAAAATAAATCTCAAGACAATGCGGCAGTCAACGATGAAGTAAATGCGGTAAACAATATTTGTATAACTAGTAGGATAAAAATACTAGTAGGATAAAAAAAA